CACAGGGCAGCCATCAGGGGGGTACGTCCAATACTCATGTAAGGGGCCCGGGCAGCCTGGGGGGCCCGCCCGGGTCCCTTACATGACTATCGGCCGATGGTGAAGGCGGAGGCCTGGCCCTAGCAGCGCAGGGCCCCAGCATTGCCGCTCCAGCGACTTTGAGACAAGCTAGGGCCCCATCAGTGACGCTGCTCATCTGATGTCTAACTGGCCGGAAGTGACGTCACTTCTGGCCGGTCCGGCGGCAGATGAGGCCATGTGTGCAGGTAAGAGGAGCTAGGAAGGAAGGAAGGAAGGAAAGGAGGGAGGGGAGGGAGGGATGCAGGCCTGACCAGCCCACCTGAGACCCCTTCAGAGCCCACCATAGACAGTCTCAGATGGGCTGTGCAGCATCTATAATGGGCTCTGCAGGGTCACTCTCAGGTGGGTCCTGTGTCCAGCGCGTCACTAAGCCCTGCGTCCAGCACGTCACTAAACCCTGCGTCCAGCGCGTCACTAAGCCCTGCATCCAGCGGCGTGGGGGGGTACCAGCCTAAAGCCGTGTAAGGGGCCCCAAAATTTCTGATGGCTGCCCTGCACACACAGTGTTATCGTCAGTCTCTTTGACTATAGCACTATCAGTTCTAGCAGACAGTTAATGCATAACAGTCTTACCAACCGTCTCCGATACTGAAGACATCTTCATTTGAGAGCGCTGGTTTAGTAATGACATCAACCACTTCTCTCTACTGCCTCCTGTAGGCTCCACAACACTTTCCCCAGCATTGCTAGAGACAACGACACGCAAATTAGCACCATAACTGGGGCTTTCAGGTTCCCTCTCATGACCACCCGCATCTCCAGGTGTACCCCATAGCACAGGGCATGTTGCAATCCCATGCCCTCGTTGGCCACACTCTAGGCAGGGAGATGGCTGTGGTGGACCCCACAGCTCAGGGCATGTCATCATATTATGCCCCTGCTGGCCACACACTCCACAAGGTGCAGGCCGACTTTTATCAAAATAACTTTCTGTCAGATTACTTTGAAGCTCACGCAGGTCAGGCTGAGCCGCATCTCCTCTGTAGCTTCTCAATCATGGTGATTACCTAAATTAGGACCCTACCTAAATTAGGACCCCACCTGGAGCGCCGTCCACCGGAGCAGCAGTGACGCGACGCTCGGCACAGCAAGTAAAGAAAAAAAAACATAATGCAAGCTTCGGCGCTATGTATTGGTGCATTTTGACAAGTACAAGTACTTGTCAAAATGCACTGCATCGGTCCCGATACCGATGCTAGTATCGGTATCGGGACATCCCTACTGTCAGTCATTTTGGTGTCACCCCTCCAATGGTGTCACCCGGGTGCAGACCGCACCCCCCTTGTGATGCCACTGGAGCTACAACAATGAACAACACAAAAAAACAATAATCAGTGACTCAAACAAATTATCGTACGAAAAAGCGATTTCGTTCGGAAATCGAACGATAATCGCAAGGTGTATTGGCTCCTTTAGATGCGCTTTTTTATACCCAATCATGCTACTGACCTGTTGCCAATTAACCTAATTAGTTGCAAAATGTTCTTCAAGCTGTTCCTTGTTAGTACCACTTACTTTGCCAGCTTTTTGTTGCCCTGTCCCAACTTTTTTTAAACATGTTGTTGCCATCAACTTAAAAATTAGCTTTTTTTCTTAAAATGGTACATATTCCCAGTTTTTAAACATTTGATGTTTTCTATTCTCTATTGTGTATAAAATATGGGTTTATGAGATTTACATATATAATTGCATTCTGTTTTTATGTAGATTTTACATAGCGTCCCAACTTTTATGGAATTGGGGTTGTATGAAGCCTCTGCAAATATTGCACTTGAGACATGGTGACAAATGATGAAATCTGTGATATTCCAGTAAACAGCAGACAAGTTATGATCAAATCAACGTATGATCAATATCACAAACTTTAGATTATCAAGACTATCAAAAAGAGAAAGAGAAGCCCACATTGCTTTTCATATAAAGCACAGGAACGTCCATCTTACATAAAAGAACTGTGTGTTCATTTCAAGTGAGGACTGATATTTTTGCATAAGAGTGTTTTCACCCTCCCTTTCCTAGAAATTTAGTCTTGTAGCTTTCTATTGACCTTCTATATTATCTGTTAGCTCTGCATAACATTCCACACTCCACACCTGCCCTCCCCCATTTTCCCCTTCCCTCTCTGTATTATCTTATAAAACCTTAACGCACCATCAGAGGCGTAACTCGAACCTTCAAGCCCCCCGCTGCAAGAAACCATGAAGGCTCCCCCCAACCCCACGGCACTGCATGGTTAACAGGAAGGCTGCCGAGGTCCCCAGCAAACGTGGGACCTCAGGCAGCCGCTTGTTTAAAATGTTAGTGCCGGTGTTCTGTCGAAAACGCTGACCCAGTATCTGTGTTTATGTACAGACGGGATTACCGAGGAAACCGCCATTTATTTACAAAGTATTCATTTGTAATTGTTAATTGTGACCGTTAATGATATGCCGTCCATGGCAGTAAATGATGGGTGGCAGGAAATGATGGACGGAATATTATTATCGGTCACAATTAACAATTTAAAACAAAATACTTTGCGAATAAATCCCGATTTCTTCGATAATATTGGTCTGTGTGTAAGCGCAGATGCTGAGATCGGCGTTCTCGACAGAACACCGATATCTGCGTTTAGTATCGGGGCATTTTCACGAGTATGAGTACTTGTGAAAATGCCCAGTATTAACACCGGTGTATCCCTACTTAAAAATATAATGCATTGCTGGGACTTGTAGTCCTACATAGTTGGAGCTATTCTGCATTGCTGTATAATGATTATACAGCAATGCAGAATACCACGAGCTATGCGGGACTACAAGTCCCAGCAATACATTATAATAAAAGTAAGGTATGCAGAATACCACCAGCATCCCTCCCCCTATAATGCATTGCTGGGACTTGTAGTCCTACATAGTTGGGGCTATTCTGCATTGCTGTATAATCATCATACAGCAACACAGATTACCACCAGCTGTGCTGGACTACAAGTCCCAGCAACACACACACACTCTCTCTCTCTCTTCCCAGCACCCCCTCCCACTCCAAACTTACCTTACCTCTCCTGCAGGCCCCTTGGCCCTCTTCCTCGTCTCGGTGGGCAGGGGGCGGGGCTAAGAGGAGATGACCCTCTTAGCTCCGCCCCTAAGAGGCGGGGTCAGCTCATTCTCCGGGATCAGTGACAGCCTCTCCAGCCCTTTTGCACAGCCGCCTGTACATGCTGCTGGTGGCTGTGCGACAGGGAAGGGGGGGCCTCTACTTCCTTGCTGGGCCCCCCTCAAGTGGCGAAACGCCAGGGCCCGGTCGCGATTGCGACCGCTGCAACCCTGGTAGTTCCGCCAGTGCGCACCATAATAAATCAAACCAGCTTATAGCAGGCTTTGGTGTGTGTGTTGGTCTCCTATATCGTGATATGGTATCATAATTTGAGCCCACTGGTTAATGTTGATAACAGGTGATTTGCATCTGCACTTTAAAATGTATTTCCACGATACTATCAATACATAAGTAAGTATATTAGTGCCTTATTACATCACTGACATCACAGTGGGTGGGGCATGTAACACCTTAACCCCTTGAACCCCCTGTCATTTAATGAATATTGAATTTCAACAAACACTGATTTTCTGCTGACAAAAACATGTAGGGAGGCAACATACTTTTTAGGAGTTATCCAATACAGGGACTAAAAGGATTTGAGTAACTCAATAAATGTCAGCAGACTGCAAATATCTGCTTAGTAAAGTTAATCTAAACCTTAATTATGCTAAAATCACCAATATTTTTGGTTTCCTTGGGCCTGCTCATCATTTCTTAAGAATTTCCCTGATTTCTGCATGAATGGATCATAACTTGTGATTTGATCTTTATGTAACATCTAAAAGTAGGAAACACATGTAACATTTACATTGCCATGGGTGGATCAAGCTCTTGTTATCACTTCCTAAGTTCTTTCTGGCTGTCTCCAGACAAATGAGACACTCAGATGTCCCTTTAGACATCTATGGGGATTAACTGCACAGGCATGGCAAAGAGAAAGAAAGATTTGGGTCAGAGGTTGAAGATTTCTGCAGTCCACTAATGTTCTATTAATGAAAGTATGCATCTGGGGCAGGATGGGTACTTTAGTTCAGAGAGGAAAAAAAAAGCTAACATAACAAGTAGTAGATCTTTTCATTTTTTTATTTTCAGGGTTGTGTAAATTTACAAGTACTGTGTGACATAAAAGGAAGCATGTTTATTGTGCAAGAGTAATGTTAGAGTATTAATAAAATATATTTTTTATATACAGTATAATATATTCCATATGTTAACATTTAAAAATACATAATATGCACTGAAAGGGTAAATAATGATGAATGACTAACCAGCCCAATATCAGGTGATAATCATCTCATATCTATGGTATTGATTTACTGTATGTGTGTTGGGTTGGAGGTTATTTGGTTGCCAGAAAACTGATTAACTTATACTGGGACAGAAAAAGTCTTAAGGTGGCCATACACTCTACAACCATCGCAAGACCTTAGTCTTGCGATGGTTGTACAGGGATTAAAAAAACGTACGATCTGCCTATCTTGGACAGGCAGATCGCACTCTCGATCATCGCAAGCCCGCCCCCCTGAGGGGCGGGCTTCCGATGACCGCAATGCTGAACGGGCAGTGTGCGCGTGCGCACACCGGCCCGTTTGGCATTTGTCTTCCGAGCACCGTTCTAACCAGCCGAGAATCGTACGATTCCCGGCTGATTTTCGAACATGCTGGTTCGACGGAAGACGTGTTTATGTAGCTTACTACGGTAATTAGAGTAAAGCTATCACTTCAGTTCAATCACCCAACCATGTACAAGCAAAAATTTTGTGCACATGATTGAATAGTATTTTTTTAGTAAATCAAATCATGACTACGTGTACAGTTCCAATAAAAAGCTAAATGCCTAGGACTCCTTTTATAGAAAAGTAAGGTCAACTTCTTTCATGCACTCCTTGTAAATCCTTTCGAACTCTTCTTCTTGAGCAGGTGTAAAGTGATTCATGTGATCTCCAGAGATACCTAATGTAAGGCAAAACATGTTTAATAAAAGTACAATATTTGTTGCTGTTTATTGTTAAAGTTCACCGGTCATTAAAGCCTGGGAATTGAGATTAGGCACATTTTAATAAAAGTGTATGTAAACCCTAACAATAAACTTTTCTTATTTGCTCCCTTTTGGTCTGCTAAATATACCATTGAAAATGTTTTTGTTTTTTTTTCATACCTAATTGCTATAAATACTTGTTGATCCTTCCAAAAGTCTTGTGAGCTGATACATTCCTGTTCTCTCTGCTTTTGCTGCACACATATCAGATACATTGTTTCCAGTTATCTATGTGGGCTAAAAAACATCTCCCCTATTTTATGGAGAAAACAATAAGGAAGGTGTTCTGCAATCCTCATCTCACACACTTCCTGTCATAATGTCACAACACTGCTCCTTCAGATACAGTACAATGAGTGAGTGTTGTCACCCTAGATAGAACAAGTGTGTTAACTGGCAGGGTTACACAGTGAAAATAAAGGAGAAAAGCCTAAAAGTTAAAAACTAGGATTCTCCCCTGGCAGATAATAACTTTTGTTATAAAATGTACTAAGATATCCAAGGATATGGTCTATTTGTATGTTCATGTGTATATGGAGAGCAATCAGCCATTTTCACAGTAACCGTGATTGTGAATGCTGGGTAGGTATCATCATTTGCATTCTGGTATGATCATCCAGCTCACTCAAAGGATTGTTGCCTGATCAGAGGAACTGATCTACTTTCATCCTCAGGCCCGTCTTTAATACTGATCGGACCCTGGGCAAACATTTTCTTGGGCCCCCCCCCCCAGGAATTCTCTCACCTCCCCAACACCAAGAAAAAAAAAAGCACACATAGATCATAGACTTCTCTCAAAAAAACTTTGACTGCAGGATTTCAAACCGATTGCAAGCTCAGCCGTTTATATTAGGGATGCACCAATATATCGGCCGCCGAAACATATCGGCCGTAAATGCCACTTTTGGCATCATGTCTCCAGGGTCTCAGGATGACTCTCAGGTGGTCAGTGCGGGGATATCTGGTGGTCGGTGCGGTATTTAGTCAGACTCAGGACATTCCAACATACAGTACATTACAAAAAGCTTGCATTTTATCGAATATGGGAGATTTGCTGTTCTCTGCAAAGGCTTGCCCTACCCCAGCATCAGGCCCTTCTTCAACCTTGGGCACCAGCTGCTTGGTACTCCTGTGATCAGAGGCGGCTCTAGAGTTTGCGAGGCCTTAGGCGAAACCTAAACATGGGGCCCCACTCAGGCCTGTGGTGTATCACCAGGTCTCTGTGGGGTTTAACCAGGCTGGTGAGACCCCCAAAGAGTCCTGGTGAGACCCCACAGAGCCCTGAATAAACCAGGGCTCTGTAGGGTCTCACCAGGGCTCCGTGGAGTCTCACCAGCCTGGTTAGACCCCTCAGAGCCCTGGTGAGACCCCCAAAGAGCCCTCGTTAAACTAGGGCTCTGTGGGGTCTCACCAGTCCTGGTGAAACCCCACGGAGCCCTGGTAAGACCATACAAAGCCCTGGTATAACCAGGGCTCTGTGGGGTCTCACCAGGGCTCTGTGGGGACTGAGTAGACACCACAGAGCCTGGTAAAACCCCACAGAGCCCTGGTAAAACCAGGGCTCTCTAGGGTCTCACCAGGGCTCTGTAGGGTCTAACCAGCTTGGTTAGTCCACGCAGAGCCCTGGTGGGATCCCACAGAGCCCTGTTGAGATCCCAAAGAGCCCTGGTGAGATCCCAAAGAGCCCTGGTTAAACCAGGGCTCTATAGGGTCTCACCAGGGCTTTGTAGGATCCCAACAGGGCTCTGTGGGGTTTAACTAGGGCTGGTGAGACCCTACAGAGCCCTGGTTAGACCCCACAGAGGCCTGGTTAAACCAGGGCTCTGTAGGGTCCCACAAATCATTGCTGGCTTACCTTATCAGTGCAGTGACTTGACTACTCACAGGCTCTGCCGCTCAGCCTCCAGCTGTGAGAGCTCCGCGGCTGCCCAAGTGCGCTCTTTGCCCTGCGTTAAAGATGGCCCTGTTCATCCTATGTGGTTGAAATATTGGTGATTATCCTGTTATACAGCATTATTCCAGATAAACTAAAGTACCTAGAGATAATGTAATTAGTTTTATAGATTACTTTACAAAAGTTTTTGTTTCCATGTATTAAGCACTAACCAGTATGTGAAATTGAAGTGAAATACAAAATAACTGTTCTGCCTAACCAAGACCATCACTGGGTCTATAGATGTACAACCTTTGTGCCCCATAGCAACATCATTCTGACAAGATCACCTCTTTACACAGAGAATGCTCTTGTTTTTACTGAGCCTACTACCGTGTTTCCCCGAAAATGATCTTATTTTATTTTTTTCATGAAAAAAGACACTAGGTTTTATTTTCGGGGGATGTCTTACCTGGCTGCAGCTGTCCGCTCTGCCGTCCAGGGAGCCACAAACAGGTGGGCGGGCATGCGTGAAGGGTAGATCTTATATTACAGAAATCCCCAAAGATAGCGCTAGGTCTTATTTTCGGGGTAGGTCTTACTTTCGGGGGAAACACGGTATTGCGATATACGTATTACTACCCATGAGGAGAAAAAACAATCTATAGTTGATAACTGTACAAGGAAATACCCCTTCTTTCCCTGTGTCACCTTTAGGCCTGCTGTGCCAGTGGCAAGTCCGGTTTTGTGCACAGACTTTCTAGTCCTTCTAGAACTGTGAAGATCTCCCAATTATACACCTTCTGTCCCATCCTCTCTCAGGTTCATAGGTTCTGATTGATGATTGATGTAAAGCAACTTTATTTGCAGTGCTTCAATAAAAGCATAAATACAAAATAATCTGACCTATAGACTTTCACTCTCACACAGTGGCATCACAAGGGGGGTGCGGGCAGTGCGGCCTGCACCCAGGTGACACAATTGGAGGGGTGACACCCAGTTATTTTGGTGCCACCGCCTCTAAAAAGTCGGGCACTCGGTCATGGACTGAGAGCCTGACAGTGTCAGGAAAGAGGAGGGGACCCGGCTGCATACCTCATCCCGCCGGGTGAATGTCCCCTTCTCTCTCTGCCGGCGTCCATAACCAAGATTGCCGCCAGCAGGCATCAATTAGATGGCTGCGTGTGTGTGATGACGTCACGGTGGGGTGTCACCCGACCTCAGCTCCGGGTTACACCCAGCCTTGTGATGCCCCTGCTCTCACACTTCAACCAAAGTTAATGGTTTTCAATGCACTATACGTAAAAGTATTAACTAACCATTCAAAGGTTTCAAATGAAATAGGCTATGCTGCATAACCACCTAGGTAAATTCACCAGCATTACTTAAATATGCTATGTTGCATAACCACCTTACATAAATTCACCAGCATTATAGCTATATGCAGTATAGTGCGGTTAATACATACTATTCCGAGATGTATTTTATCAATACTTCTTTTGTATTTCTGAAATTGATTGCCATATCTGGTTTAATTTTAGCAGTGTGTCTATACATGGTTATTTTGCCTTTCTAATGTTGCCCCATACAGTATTTGGTGAAGTTGATAAGAAAATTTGTGAAATATGACTATGGCTACCATCAAACACAGAGGGCACATTTATGTCAAGGCGTGACTAGCATTCCATAGATGTAAGTCTACTACATTTCAGAACATATGTGGAAACAATCAAGTGTCTTTACCTTTTCTATGAAATGTCCCTTTTTGCTTGTCAAAGATATTGTTAGGCACTGCACTGTAGTTGGACATGTTGTTCTCTTTCATAGCTTTAAAGGATGAATGTTCTACAACAGAATCTATGGCAGCATCGTCCAGATCTTTTCCAAGGAACTTGCAGATCTTTACAACATTGCTCTTCAGATCCTGTTGTATTAAACAAATGTGTTTTATTAGTCATTACAGTAAAGTATTTTATAATAAGTCACCTGCAAAAGGCCAAATAAAAGATAAATATAGTGAACAAAACTAGAAAGTTATTTTATAAACTGAGGTTAAATGGCCTGTTACATATAAATCCCATTCAACTGCTTTTGAGGTAGGAGGCCGTAGTGTAGATGATATGTCCAAATCTGAGTGGAGCACACTTAGGCCACAGCCTGAGGTGCCAGAAATGCAGAAGTGGAATTCACGTAACAGTAGCGTCTGTAACCTGAATGGTCACAGTGCAATTCCTGACATTTTGCTCTGCACTGCCTCCTGCACTTACTGTTGATTTTTCTCCTCCAGCTGACTGACAGTGCAGGTGGGCATTGTTTGCAAACGGTTGTGCTTAGTTCAAAGTTCTTTTTAGTATATAAATAGGGGGGGGGTGGGGTGTTAACTAAATTGATTGTGCTTTACAATGTTACTTTCAGCAAGCATGACACATTGCCCACATACAGTAATGGTAAATAAACACGATAAACATAACCCTGGAACATGTTAGAAGTACCCAAATCTTGGCTAATTTATTGTTTTGATATTTAAAAAAGAAAAACAATAACATTGAACAAGTTTTTACAATTGGGAAACAGCTTCAGAAACATTAGTGTTTTGTCCCGAAACACTATGATCCAACAAAAATATTGATGCAGAATGCAGGATTGACCCTGCAAAAAAATGTTCAACTGGAAAACATTTATTGTGGTCCATTTAAAGTGTTTTACCAATGGATTACAACTGTAGAGGCAGAAGGAATGGTAATGCTACACACTCTCTACATGGTAAGCCTCTCACACCCCTTTCATCCCTATTGTTTGTGGCTGCAGAGGGAGAATCTGCAAATTACTATTATTATTATACAGGATTTATATAGCGCCAACAGTTTGCGCAGCGCTTTACAATATAGGGCAGACATTTCAATCACAATACAATTCAAGACAAGATGGTAAGGAGGGCCCTGCCCCTGAGGGCTTACAATCTAAAAGGGAGGGGGAAGTTACATAGTTACATAGTATTTGGGGTTGAATAAAGACATACGTCCATCAAGTCCAATCCATATAGGTCCACGCATCATCTCATTTTTAGGGATACTGGTATCCCTATTACGGACGTCAAGAAATTGTCCAAACGTTTCTTGAACTTATCTACACTCTTGGCTGAAATCACTGCCGATGGCAGTGAGTTCCAGACCTTAACCGCTCTTACTGTAAAGAACCCTCTTCGCCCATTGTGCTGGAATTTTTTCTCCACCAACTTTAGGTGGTGGCCTCTAGTCTTTGTAATGGAGTTAATCTCAAACAGGTTGTTGCCAATGTTGCTGTCACCAGTGAACATCTTGTACATGATACATGAGGAGGGAGCTGCGTGGGAATTCATTGTTTGAGAACGTGATGGTCGAGCGGTTAGGTTGAGGTGGGATAGGTTTCCCTGAAGAGATGAGTCTTTAGGGATCGGCTAAAGGCAGTCAAGGTGGGCGACAGACGGACAGGTTTTGGTAAAGAATTCCAGAGGATGGGAGAGACTCTAGAGAAGTCCTGAAGGCGAGCATGGGAGGAGTTGACAAGGCAGCTGGAAAGCAGGAGGTCTTGGGATGAGCGGAGCCGACGGTTAGGGTGATACTTTGAGACAAGGTTTGAGATATAGCCGGGTGCAGAGTTGTGGATGGCTTTGTAACTGATTGTTAATATTTTGAATTTTATCCTTTGGGCTATTGGAAGCCAGTGCAGGGATTGGCAGAGGGGGGTTGCAGACACTGAGCGGTTGGTTAGGTGGATGAGTCTAGCAGCTGCATTCATGATAGACTGAAGGGGGGATAGCCTGTGTAGTGGAAGGCCAATGAGGAGGGAGTTGCAATAGTCAAGACGAGAGATAACAAGGGAGTGGATGAGTAATTTTGCGGTTTCTTTGGTGAGGAAGGGGCATATTTTGGAGATGTTACGAAGGTGAAGGCGGCAGGATTTGGATAGTGATTGGATGTGGGGAAGAAAGGTGTGGTCCGAGTCAAGGATGACACCTAGGACCTTGGCATGAGGGGAGGGCTGGATAGTTGTGTTAACAATCTCAAGGGAAAAGATGGGAGAAGGTGCACGGGTAGGAGGAAATATCAAGAGCTCAGTTTTTGAGAGATTGAGTTTTAAGAAGTGTTGCGACATCCAGACGGATATGTCAGATAGTAAATTAGTGACACGAGAGGACACTGAGGGGGTGAGTTGTGGAGTAGAAAGATAGATTTGAGTGTCATCGGCATAGAGATGATATTGGAAGCCATGTGCAGTTATATATAGAGAAGAGAAGCGGTCCAAGGACAGAGCCTTGGGGGACCCCTACAGAAATAGGAAGAGGAGGGGAGGATTTAGAATTGTAGGTGACGCTAAAGGAGCGCTTAGATAGGTAGGAGGAGAACCACGAGAGAGCAGAGTCTTGTAGCCCAAGGGACTGGAGTTTTTTGAGGAGGAGCAGGTGGTCAACAGTGTCAAAAGCAGACTACGGTGCTCTCTGCAGCACATGTGTGGAAAAAGGCTCACACACCTGAGCTATGGGGAGCAGACCTAGGGATACAAGTGTCCTGCACCCGTGGAGCAGTGCTATCCTGTGGAATGAAATAGGGTGGATGCTCTGTCAGGGTTTCTTTCCCTTCCTTGTCCAGTTGCACGCAGCATGGCTTGTGTAGTGTTTCTGCCACCTTTGTTCCTCTTTGGCACCCTCTTATGCTCAAACCAGTTACATCATCATTCTGCACTACTGGCAAAACTCCTGACAAATTCCTGTCTCAGAGTGATGATGCAAACACCTGCTCACTATTTAACCATTAGCTTGTCCATTCAGTCTTCGCCCTTGCGTTTGTTCTGAACAACCAAGTGTGCTGCTGTTGTTTCTGTACTCTGTGTTTCACCCTGACTCTGGCTGACTGATCTCCTGGTTCCTGACTCCGGCTTTTTTTACATTCATCCTGCTCTGTGTTCCCTGACCTGCTTCGGCTGATTACCCACTGTGGCTTCTGACCTCTGGATTGGCTCTGATGACATCCTGGACTTTCTCCATTGTTTTTGCATTTATGTTTATTGTTGTTTTCAATAAACTCCTTTTATATTTTAAACCTGCACTTTAAGTTTCTGTCTGTTTTTTTGGTTCCCTGACATGCTGCCTCCACGTCTCTGCAAGCTGCCCCTAGATGACATCCTTCCTCACTGATATTGTGCCTCTCCCTTATTTTCCTCTTGTACTATTTCTGGCACCCAGGTATGGTCAGTGAGCTCATCATCAGCAACAACAGAAATTTTTGTTGACGCACACAAGAAAAACAATGAAAAAGAAGTAGTCCTAAAAAAGACTATTCACAGTGAAAACAGGTGGGGTAACACTCCACTCTCTCTAGCAACCCCCACCCCCCCCTACACCCAAAATGCAATTCATTATTATTATTATTATTATATAGGATTTATATAGCGCCAACAAGTTAGACATTACAATCACAATACAATTCAAGACAAGATGGTAAGGAGGGCCCTGCTCCTGAGGGCTTACAATCTAAAAGGGAGGGAGAAGCGATACATGAGGAGGTAGCTGTGTGGGGATGAATTGTTTGAGAACGTGATGGTTCAGTGGTTAGGTTGAGGTGGGATAGGCTTCCCTGAAGAGATGAGTCTTTAGGGAACGCCTAAAGGCAGTCAAAGTGGGAGATATACGGACAGGTTGGGGTAAAAAGTTCCAGAGGATGGGAGAGACTTTAGATAAGTCCTGGAGGAGAGTATGGGAGGAGTTGACAAGGGAGCTAGGAAGCAGGTGGTCTTGGGATGAGTGGAGTGGATGGTTAGGGTGATATTTTTAGACAAGGTTTCAGAATTAATTAATAGCAAAATACAGCAATGAATACTGTATATCACTGTATAGCTTTGTGAATATATCACTGTATAGCTTTGTGGTAAAACACTAGCACAAAACAATAACCCTGTATCTAGCTGCAATCACTGTCAGCTGTAAGTTACTATGCTCCAACAGACAATGAAAAGGGGCTGTTGGGAGAGCTGACTTTTATAGTGAGGGGACCTTGACATTTTAAATTTTGGTGAAATGTCTGGACTGAACTTAACATCCGTCTGAACCCAAACCAAATCCCTAGTCTCTATAATACAAGTATAATATGAGCAGGAATGACATTTCTACGTAGATAAGACCTACCTTTATCATGCTGTCATAAGACAAAATCAAGAAGTTGGGATTGTCCTTCATTGTTAACCATTCTTTCACATGTTCAAACCACCGACCAAACAAAGCTAAAAGTCAAACAGAAAGCTATTCAATGTGTAATTTTTACAGAAAAACCTAAGTATTTTAATATACTTTATGGTCCCTTGAAACCTTTGCAATCTCTTGTGGTGTGTTACTGCATGCATGTTAATGTGCGGCAGCCCATTCCAGAGCACCAAAATGCATGGCATATTCATTGTTGTGCTGCAGTGCAAGTGTGTTACAGGTTACTGTAGTTTAAATGAATGTAACTGAAACGCACAGCACAAATTGCAGTACATTAACATATTTGCTGTAACATACAATACAATATGTAAACACGGCAAAAGACTTGTAATTTAGCTGTGCAGTGTTGCAGGTATGTGTACATCACAAGAATAAGTATACAGAATTACATTGTATTGCAGCAGAGGTTGAAGGGGTAGGGGGTCAGCCCGTCAGTGCCCAGACCATACGCCGCACACTGCATCAAATTGGTCTGCATGGCTGTCGTCCCAGAAGGAAGCCTCTTCTAAAGATGATGCACAAGAAAGCCTGCAAACAGTTTGCTGAAGACAAGCAGACTAAGGACATGGATTACTGGAACCATGTCCTGTGGTCTGATGAGACCAAGATAAACTTATTTGGTTCAGATGGTGTCAAGCGTGTCTGGCGGCAACCAGGTGAGGAGTAGAAAGACAAGTGTGCCCTGCCTACAGTCAAGCATGGTATTGGGAGTGTCATGGTCTGGGGCTGCATTTGTGCTACCAGCACTGGGGAGCTACAGTTCATTGAGGGAACCATGAATGCCAACATGTACTGTGACATACTGAAGCAGAGCATGATCCCCTCCCTTCGGACACTGGGCCGCAGGGCAGAGTACAAAACAGAATGGATGAGATCTAGAAGTATTGTAAGTAGAATGTTGTCCTAAAGTATACAACTCAAGGTGTTCAGAGCTGCAATACATGAATGGAAATATAGATTACCAAGCATGTACACCTGTGAAATTTACACCAAATACTACTTTACAATATTAGCTTACAATATATTCTCACTGAAAATACACTATAGTTATTATTTAAGATGCCATTCTCACTATTTTTGCTGAGAAACAGAGAGATGAAATCCTGGAAGTCTTCCCTGCTTTCCATAAACTGTGCAATCAAGGCGAAGTAATAGAGAGATACACACACATCTTTAGGGTTGCGTATTGTATAAATCACCTAAGACAGAAAATAAATAACCAAAGTTATCACATTTGCACTTTACAGACAAATGTACTATCTATAATTTTAGCTATCAGCCAGTGAGAGAGTGACACATGCAAGCAAGTTGGTGTTTTACCTCCCTGCCGTGTTCTCCATTCCTGCCCCTGGTGAGTTCTCACTAGCAGCATGATTGCAAGTATGTCCCAAGCCTTATTTTATCAAGCTGTTGCCCAGCCACCTAGATATAATGTCTAAATGGTAGCTATAGTAATTACCTCCCAGTCTTTTAGTGCAATATGTGGACAGCTTATGCTATAGTGCAATGAAGAGGACCTCTAATTTTCCAGAAGACATATTGCTGCAAAAACAAACAAACATGAGAATGATATATACTATGCTCATTTGTCTATGCTACTATGCTCAGGTTATTTCCTGTATTTTGTGCAGATTAAAGACTACTTCTGTCCTGTTTAAATTGAGCCTCATTCACCTAATGTGATTTCATGCACTTTCACAGGCATTTGCCAGGTCCTATTTGTGGTAATGTTGGCTTTTCTGTATATGTGTTCTGAAGTCTATTAAAAAGAATGTGATTTGCTGTTAGGTGCAGGACATTTCCTGTACAAAAACTTAGTGGTTCTGCACATGGATGAATGAAATGTTGAATAAATCATTAGAGTGGATGATAATCTAATATGGAGCAGCTCCATCATCGCTTCCTACCCTGTATATAAAAGCTGGTGAGTGCCGTTCAATGCATCTTATGTTGGGAAAAGAACTCTAATGCTTCATTATTGTTACATATGAATCAGTCTCTAGTTCATTTGGTATCATAATGAGCTTGCAACATACCTTAGCCTTACTTTTGTCGAATGACTGTGGAAATATATGTCTAGGCACATGAGTTGTGATAAGTCGAGGAGATGGTCTGTTCTCAAGTTTATTTCTGGCTCTATGCTGTTCAAGCCAAGGAACACGGTCCCAGCTAAATTGTGTTTTCACTGGTGTTGGATCTCCATTGCTATAAATTAGGCTGAGGATTTCTTGAAGCCATGTGGTTCCTGCATATACATTATGTTAATATTTAACCATGTTCTTACAGGCATGTAAAATATAGGAATTATACAATAACTATAGTGTTTATGAAATCTAGGCAACACTACAGGTTTGGTGTAAAATAAAATCTGCTTTTCAATTTTTAGTACAATATTTATAGATAGATTCTAAAGTTATTTTAGCATAACCTGTTTTATTTATGAGTTTTGGGAGATTCCAGAAGAGAGTTTAATGTACACGCAAGTGGGATTCATAAAATTAGTTAAAAGATTTCAGTTTTCATATGGCACAAGAAAATCAGTCTCTCTGTTGAAGGGAAGAACACCATATGGCAAGTATAAGGCAAAGCACAATATTAACCATGTGCAGGTAATTATCATGGACAATGCGCCTGTGTTATCAGATTTTCCACACCTAGTGCATTGCCCATGGGAAAGAAGATAATGACATGCCTGGAAACAATAGCATCTATGAATAAAGAATAGGTCCTTCCACACTTGAGACAATATATGGAGAAAAAAAATAGAAAATAAGGGAAGGAAAAAAAGTAGATAATCTTTATTCTCTCCTTTCTTTCCTCCCCTTATTTTTTTCCTTCTGCACTAGGTAAAAAAAGAAAAGGATTTTGTTTTTAGTTCTCGTCCGATGGCCACGTGAGTAGTCACCTAGGCGGGGTGGGGGTTCCATGATCTGAGGAGTCAGGTCTTCCATGTGGGATTCAGTAGCTCCATGGTGTCCCATGCCTCCTGTACTTTCTCAAAAAAGCCTAAACCCTTTTGTTGCCATGGACATAATGTAAGTACTATGAATGTGTCAGGGGTGACCTGTAATCAGACTCCTGGCTGCTAGAGCAGTATGTTTACACACCCACAGCCGACTGTCAGCTTTCACATGGAAGTGATTCCAGCTCTGCTGCCCCTCCTGTGATAGAAATAAGGTTGAGTGTAATAAAAAGAAGTTTAAAAAAATGTAAGTTGAATAAAATAAATAAAATAATCCCTACAAAAATGTAAAACCCTACCACTTCCTGTACAGGCACATACAAACAGAAACACGTGTATCGGATGTGCCTATGTATGAAAACGACACATGTTGGTTATAGCGGCTCACAGTGGAGTGAGAGCATTAATTTTCAGAGCCACTAATCAAGTGATATTAAAGTCAAAAGGATTTTAAGCTATTTCAAATGCTGACAAAATCACTTACAATGAATGCTGCTCCTTGATGTTTAAAATTTTTAGTTTCCTGCAGAATCAGCTGGTCCCCTGAGCACTGGTCCTAACTTCCTGTTTAGGAGTGACTTATTTCTCATGCAGAGTGCTATGTAGTGACCCTTGTGTAAGCTAGTAACCTGTGTGTGTATCCACAAACACAGCAAATCAAGCTACTTCCCTCCCCCCTGGCCGCTCTTTTCCCTCCTCCCTTCTCCAAGCTAGTAGATGAACAGTTGCTGGAGTCTGCTCTGTCCTGTGATCTTGAACTGGACAGGAAGTTCAGGGACACTGAGCTGAGAGACATGGAAGCAGCTGTTCAGAAACATGATGATTGTAAGTGTTTGGGCAAAAAAGTAAAACAGCGATTTGCTGTATATTTGTTTGATTTGGGTACTGAAAAAAGTTTGAGAGTTTGATACTACTTTAACTCTAAATTGATGACCAGGCTTTTAAAGCATTGCCTATGGACAACATAGTATTCAGCATGCTGGGTTTAGTAAAAATTCTCTATCACAAAAGTAAGGGAAAGTGAAAATATTTTGGATTAAGGAGCAGAGTGATATTCTAGATTGATTCTGGGAGTAAAAAAATTAACTCACTACCTTTTGTGGGGATTACAGCCATGTGGTCTTTTCCCATGTATTTAAAGTTCTACCAATCTGCCCTGGCAGAGAGGATCTCATGAGATTCGGTGGCTAAATGAAGCAGGGCTGGTAACTCAGTTGGGTAAACTTCTCCAAAAGTATGCATAGGAAGTCAACTATTAAGCAGCCCATAGACACTAAGTGAGTTATTCACAAAGCTCATTCATTCAGATGAAGTACAGAATGACTTCGACTTAGCCGATCCGACATCTGGACCGGCTGAGCCGAAGCTCTGGCAGCTCACTCGCAGCCGTTCTCCCCTATTCAAATAGGGGCTGATCCAGTGAGTGAATAGCTGAATGCCGCCGAACAGAATTCGGCTTGGCTACTCTGCTAAGTACCTCCGTGGTACCAAGCAGAATAGCAAATAGTGTAAAAAGTAGGAAAAAAAACAAGTAGAAAAAATATTTGTAAAAATGTAAAGAAATATATAAAAAAAGAAATAAAGATTTTAAAAAAAGAAAATAATAGAAAAACAACTGTTTCCTATTGGCTGGCACCTGCTAGCGTCTTCTAGCAGGTCCCAGCCAATGAATAACAACTGGGCGGAGCATATGCCTTCACCTCCGCTGAGCCGCTCGGCCGCCTTCGGCTGCTGTACGGGCTATAGTGAATAGCTTCAAATGAACCGAAGGGCTCCGCGGGCCGAAGAGAGCCGAAGGATTAGACAAAGCTATGGCTGGATCTTTCGGCTCCTCTGTGAATAACCCCCTAAATGGCAATTGAACATGTAAACACAGTGTGATGGTTCCTCATGATGAGCCTAAGAAAGCATCATCTACAGGTCGCTCATACAATCTAAGCTACCACTCAATCTAACTGAAATAGGAGACTATCTTTTAATGACGATATGTATCTTTTTTGATTATGTATAGCAGAGTGCAAAACTTATTTTTATAGCCATTGTACTTTTTGTGTTTTTTTTTGGCAAGTCAGTCATTCATTCATCATCTTCCATATTTTACAAACGAATATACAATTATGGCAGATACTTGCCTTATGTCACAACAGGTCACTGGCTATAGTTTTATTATTTTAATTTGGCATGTGAAAGTGGCCAAAGAAAGATGATTATTGCTTGACATTTCTGGTAACCATTGAATTCACTATTTTAACAGTATTCCAAAATGCATTTAAAACATGAACCAAAATAAGGTAGAAAGTGTTTTGACCAGATGAATAGATTAATTTATAAACAGTTATATTTGCCTCAATGTACTTAAATGAATAGTAAATTATATTTTTTCTTTATTTTTTTTTGGGGGGGGGGGTGGATTGCTTGCAAGTTGGTAATTTTTGTATTTACATCCAAAAAGTTTTGTACCATAGGTAAGTAGGCAAAATTGCATCAGAAGAAAAACCGTTATTTTGCCTCTCACAGTACTCAGTGGGGATCACAGAGTGCCATATAATCCTTTCTTTCATACAAGAAGTAGTAGTGAGAAGAAATATGCATTTCACATCTGTTCTTGTTGTTTTCTATACCTAGAGAAAGCAAACTCACAATACATTGAGCATAGGAGGCAGAAAAAGACAACAATTTGGATTGTGCATATAATTGTATTACGTTCTGTATGGCATGCAGAAAGTTGAAAAGACAATTCTTTCTTTCTGATTGGCATGGGGTGAGAAGGGGCATACAATATGCTCAAGAGTCACTCAGCCAATAAAAATATAATATTTTCCAGAACTACTTACCAGTGGTGAAGACACAACTGTCATTCATCAAAGCCATCTTTGTTCTCATGCTGAAGCTCCTATTAAACACATCCAAGGCAAATCCTTGGGCCCCTCTTGCATGAGTTGATCAGGAGAGAATCCGTGTCCGAATTTAACCAGACCCCATGCCAATCTATGGGGAATCGGATGTAAACGGACACACCCCCATCTCCTCCATCTGATTACCCCTGGTCCGGCAAAACGGAACACTGTTCCGTTTGCCTTACCCGACCCGGCCGGAGGCGCTGGTAACCGGGTGCAAACGGTTGCTCGCCAATTTAACAACGGCTGCCTATAAACTTGCAGTGAGCATCCGATCAGGTCCATCTGAAAAACTGACAGGAGGACCTGATCGGAGCAGTCGTGTGAAAGAGGCCTTAAGTTTTAGCATGTTTGTCATCTTGTGGAAGCTTTAAATTACCAAGGTAAGGTGACAGACAACTTTTTGTTTCATGAATGTGTAGAGTGCACAATCACCATGTAACAGGGAAGGAGCTTATTTATATTACACTCTTTCTAGGACAGAAAGAAAAAACTAATTTCTGTTTCCAAAATTAAGAAAACGTTCATAAGATGCACTAACATCTCCAAGAGATAAAGACACTGGATTATTCTGAAAACCATTCAACATTTTTTTTTTACTGAAAAGACGCACCATTATCTTGAAGTAGTAAAATAAAACTGGGCAGCACAGTGGATTAGTGGGTAGCACTTCTGCCTTTCAGCACTGGGGGTCTCTAGTTTGTGTCCCGGTCAGGACACTATCTGCCAGGAGTTTGCATGTTCTCCCTGTGCTTGCTTGGGTTTCCTCTGGGTACTCTTGCTTCCTCCAACACTGAAGAAGTTTAACTGTCTCCTGTCTAAGTTGACCTTGTATGCCTGTGCAATAGGGATTGTAAGCTCCTTGAGGGCAGGGACGGATTTTAATGTTCTGTATGTAAAGTGCTGTGTAAATTGTCTGCTCTATATAAATACCAGAAATAATGAGTATTTACCTGACTTGGGATAAGTTACATTGAAAACATCATCATCGCGTACTTCAAACTCTTTGAATGCCCAGGTTAAGCTTTCATGTGTGTGCACATTATCAGGGAATTTTATTCCCTCGAATTCAATGTATTTTCCTGTTATTTCCAATTCCTCATCTTTCATGATGACACCTTGTGGGGTAAACATTAACATTTTACAGTGCAAGGACACATACATCTATTTTTAAAAAAATTCTACCACTACAGTTATCTATTAACCGATTAAAAAACAATATATCCACTCTTTCTTTAAACAATAGATTCATGTAAAATTACTTCATAAAAGCAAAGTGAATACCAATGCAAGATCTTAAATTGCAGATAAACCAAACCATGCCATTCACCATGCTGTCTCATCCAACGGTGCATGTGCAAATACCCTCCCCAAGCATCTGAGATTGGAAAGGGGGTTACTTTTAAGCCCAGCATATATGTGCAAGGGACATAACTTGGCCAACTTTCCCCCCTCCCCAACCCAAATCACACAAATCATGACCAAGTAATAGGTCAGTAATAAGCACAAATTCACTGGGACTTTTTCACCACTACCTTTTCCTGATATTAGTGTTTGAAAGTAACCAGTGCAATAATGGCATCTGGCACTTAAATAGTACATTTATACATAGATATATTTACACCAGAGCTAAAAGTTTAACATTTAAAGAGGAATGATGGACAGAGGGATTTGGTTCCAAAAGAGGAGCAGCCCCTCCAAATAAGGTATGGTTGGGACCTATGCATGTGCATTGAGGCTGTTGTAAGCTCTTTATTGTTCCATCCTACATGTCACAGCTCTTTAAAACCCCCTTAAGAGTGTAAGTAGTTGGCATTTGTGAATTGTGAAAGTTATTGTAACCCTATTTCTGTCCGACACCAATAAAACTATTTTGGAAAAAAGAGTGTAAGTAAAGTGGAGTGTTACACAGAGTTTCACAGCTGCTATTGCTAGGGAGTTGTAACATAAAAATGGGAGCAATAAAGGCTTACAACAGTCACTATACATGGGTACAGATAGATGGAATAGTAAGAAAACAGCATGAGACCCTTTCCATATACTTTTTTACGTAACTATTTAAAATATACAAATAGAACACAAAAAAAAGACTGTTGCTGCAAATCACAAATACTAAAACCCCTTTTGTGAAGAATATGACACCAGAGATATTTTATAAATGTATGTCTAAAATCACATACCCTTAAAACCTTAACGATAATCTACTCATATTTTGCTTACTCTGGTCCCCCACCCATCAATATGCTAACAGAATTATTAAATAACACCTGTTCTTTTACATAGCATATTTTTGACCCTGTGACATCATCACTGTTTTTTTGTGGTTCTGTAGGTAATGCAGGCAGATTATGACTGGTAGGAGGGACTGGCAGGGTCCTGTACCTATTTTCCTGAAAACATAACTGCACCCTGCCTCTGTCCTCCTCTCAGGAGCCCTCTGCCCACCTCTAAGGAGCCCTCTGCGCTGATGCAAGTAGTGGGCTGACTTTTGGAAGGAGTTATACAAATACTAAAATGCCTTGATAGGTGGATCGCTATGATCGTGAGGCATTGGGGCTATGATCGCTCTGACATCAGAGCTTAGCAAGACTAATCCCAAATTTCTAAAGTAAAAAAAAAGTGACTTTTACATGTTTTTTGTTCTGACACGTTGACACCCAGATTGTTACTGCCATATTTCACATCCAGTTTTACTATCTTGTTCTATATTTTATCTTATTTTTTTAAGCCTTTTATATGGTGGATGATTCGAGTACATAGTGCCAGGACATAATATAGCATATTATATATACATATTGCATATAATATTATATAGCAATGTATGCTTAGCCTCAATGTTAAACAAGAAATCCGGGCAAAACTTTTATTAACCCTTGCAGTGGAGATACCCCAGGTGCTCGTGTAATAACAGGCAGCAGTGTAAATAACCGACCTGAAGTGAAGTGAGCTGAACGCTGTTAGGCTATTCACTTCAGGCTTGTACAGCTGATTTCAGCCCTACATCGGCTTGCTTCAGCCGGCTTCGGGTCGGCCGAACACGCAGAGCATGTTCGGCTGACCCGAAGTGCAGAAGGAGTTCGACTCAGCCGATCAAACATCTGGATCAGCTGAGCCGACCCTCCGGCAGGCTACTCACTGCCGTTCTGCCTATTCTCATAGGCGCCCAATGGCAGTGAGTGACTAGCCGAATGCCATTGAGTAGCATTCGGCTCGGCTATTCTGCTCGATACCTCCGTGGTACCGAGCAGAATAGAAAAACAGTGAAAAAGTTGGGGAAAAAAGTAGAAAACAATTGGGCGGAGCTAGCAGTTACCTGGTAACCAGGGGGCGCTGAACTAACGACAGCTCGGCAGATATCATGGCCGGCTCCGCAAGTTCTCATTGTGTAATGACAGTTCAGCATCTCGTGGTTACCAGGTAACCAGGGGACGCTGAACTGTCATTGCAACTGGCCGGCTGTCTCCGCCGGCTGGCAGTTGCAAGGCTTTCGGCCGGCCCACTTCGGGTTTCGGCTCGGCTGAGCCTCTCGGCCAGCTTCGGAGCTGTAGGGGCTATAGTGAATAGCTTCAACTGAACCGAAGCGTTAAGGCAGCTGAAGCTAGCTGAAGGATTAGCCAGAGCTACAGCTGATCCTTCGGCTAGCTTTGTGAATAACACTCTAAGTGCTAAAAAAAAAGGTATATTCACCTGAACCGCTGTGCCGGCTTGCGCTTAGACCAGACCCTGGAGCCCCCCCATTGCAGCAGTCTAATGTCAAGTAAATCATGAATCATCACATTCTATACACTGTGTATAGATGTGAGGGTGCTGAGGAACATTCTAATGCTGCAGGATAGGAGGAGACAGGCTTCAGTGACTGGAGAAGCAGAGAGTCATACGAGTGCATTATTTTATTGATCTTTTTCTATTTTTTATCATTATTACATTTTCTACAAAATATTTTTTATTAGATGTGTTATTTTATATATTGCTTTGTAGGCCTGATGAAGGGGGTTACTGGCCCTTCAATTGCATTGGCTGTGCATATCTTCTTGTCGCTATTTGTAAAGCCAATAAAAGGTTTTTGTTTTTTTAACTCTTGAGACGATTAGCTGGCATTCATATTGATTTCTCATTTTGGGCATCCCCTCCCACTGAAGGGTCCCCCATTTTGTAAGGAGCTGTGGAAATTGAGCCACAGACTCAAATATTGCTCTTATTCGACCAGAGAAAGGCCGGTATCCAGCCTCTCATCCCCACTCACCCTTTGATAGGTGGATGTCAGTCTTGAGGATTGGGCATTCCCAGGTAGTCTACATTTGCTTAACTTTGGTTAGTGATTGTAGGGAAAATTCACTCTGCAAAGAAAACTCATTCACATGCAGCGAAAAAGTAAAAAAAAAAACAGTACTTTTGCTTGCACACGATTGGATGATTGAAGTCAGCAGAGCTTTACCTCATTCACCAAGCTGTGGGAATAGTCCCTTGCAAAGTGCAAACAGCCACTTTGCCTTCAGCAAATCAGCCCCTAAGAGTCATAATGCTAAAAGTTAAAAAAAGGATTAAAATTGTAGTTTTCTTCAAGGATACACCACACAAGTATATCAGATATATACCTCTTTTTACGTTTTATTTTTAACACTAAATTGCAGTAAGCTATATAAGCACATTTAAATATACTTAGGGCATCAGCAGAAAATCTAATTTTCAAAATGTTTTAATGTATTTTTTATAAAATTGTTATTGTTGACAGGAAAAAAATGCAAATATAAAATTGTAGGGTTGTTCAGATACCAAGTACCATACTCTGTACAAGTACAAGTACAGATACTTTTCCAGCTCCAAGACTAGACTAGGGAAAAAGTCAAAAGTTAGGAGGCAGCTGTCATTTGTAAGGAGCACACTGAGCTCCTGGGATTTGTACATCTCTGTTATTAAATAGTAATAAATATACCGTATATTAGGGAAGCACTCTTAGCATTTATTCAAGTACAAGTACTGATACTTTTCCAAGTACTCACAGATATAAGTACTGATACATTTTTGTTTATTGTCATGTGACAATTTTTCTAAAACAATACAGACTAATGATTTCAGGACAGTGGTGGAGCGTCAGAGCCAGGTCCCAGCTGCAACTGCTGCAACCCTGATAATTCTCATGAAAATGCCAAGTATCTGAACACCCCTACAAAAATGTACTCAAAAACTACTTGTTATCATCTTTCTAAAGAAAATAAAGCAAATATAATCTGATAGTATTCTAATCCAAACCATAGTCTCTCATCATATCAAAGAAACATTGTTTTATCATTGCAGATTCAAGTTGAACAGATAAGGATGATTACAAAACAAATGTAACTAAAGTTTAGAGTGGCAATAAATATAATAAGGGCATGATAGTTAAGAGGGCAAAAAATCTTTCCCTGGTGCTCTAAGCACATGCTGATTTACTCAATGGTTTATCCAGGGCTGAGAGGTGCAGCGCATGTGACATGCACAGAATACAAAATGGGCCTGTCTAGAGTATGTCACATATAACACAGTGTAAGGAGAGCAAACTCCACACGCTCTGCCTGCGTCACTGCGCATGAGTTGCCTACTCAATTCATTGCTGTCTTCACACCTTAGCTTTGCATCGCGCATAAGAAAAGATGCAGGAGCTATTTTCAGGCGAATGCCACGCGGTATTGGTCCTATAGACATCCCCATGCAGGGAGAAACTCACGTTTTTTTAAAAGCAAAAATGCACAAAAACATGGATACAAGAAATCGTGCAAAACTGCAAATGCATAGGTGTGCACCTGCCCTTAATCACTTCCTGGGTTGCAGCTTTAGGCCTCTTTTTTTGGATTTACTTCTCTTTTTTTTTTTTTATTAAATCTTTATTTATAATTTTATCTCTACCAATTCAAAAACATTTACATTTCCATACAAACAGAACATAAGAAAAAGAAGAAAATTTCCTGAGTTACCAATATCCCATAGCAAATATGTATTCAAGACTAACTCCATAGGTCATGAATCTAGCAAAAAAAGCCTCAACCAAAAAAAGAAGGGATATTGGTCTGTAGTTTTGGGGTACTGTAGGATCTTTGCCCTCTTTGGGAATTACTGATATGTATGCTGACAGA